CTCTGCTTTAATCTGCCAGCTCAGGGGCCTGGCTTTTCTAATCTGGTCAGCACAGGGGCCTGACCTGTTTTGCAGGTACGTCTGGAAAGCGTCCCTTCCAGAGATCCTCACCAATGTCTGCCAGCTTCGTTCGTTGGCACAGCAGCAAGACATGGTGGCTGTGCCCACTGCACTGTTTTCTGCATGTACTGTGTATGTGTTCAATCATGTAACATCAACTTCATGGGAGAGAGCAACTTGGGAGTGACCACCGCGTCCGTGTTCTACGACGGTTCTCACACACACACACACACACACTTCGAAGACTCCCTACAAACATAGGGGAGGCAGACTTTAACACTTCATGAGGCACATGACGCTCGTCAGGCATGATGTTGGTTTTGGAAGCACGCGACGCTACTAAAAAGTAGCATTCGACGCGAGAAGTCGAAGCGAAGAATGCCTCGAGACGCTTGAGGGATATGACTAAAACCGGCAGGTCAGACAATTGTGTTTTCCTGCAGCTTTGCGAGTTGCCCAAAACTGCATGAGAGAGTTCACACATCTGCATCAATGGGGGACGCCTCAGGGTTTGACCAAATTAAAAGCACAGGATCACGATAAGAATGAATGGAATGGCATGGCAGCTTCGCCACAGCGAGAAGCACCACAAGTGGTGTGAGCTTTCGCCCACAAGGCCGCGCGAAGCACGTGTTCTTTTCTGCCCCAGCTTAAGCCGCACGCTCTGGTTGGTCACTGTGATGGGTTCCAGACTGGGCATGTGATTTCACACCCCCATTCTTCACGTCTGGAGTCTCTTTAAAGACACCCTTACTTTTCTTGAACTCTCTTTCACGGCTACTGTTTATTCTCCAGTCTTCATCACAAAGCGCAGGAAGCTCGGGTCAACATTCACCTTCTTCGGTGGATCAGCCACCATTTGGCGGGCATCCACCCATCTCAACACCATGTTGTTCTCTCTGATGTCTCTGCGAACTAAGAGCATGTCAATCGCCATTCGCTTGTCATTCACCACCATGCCATCTCCACGCGCCTCCGCCATATGGATCGCATCCAGTTAGTCATATGGATCGGATCCAGTTGCACTCTGCGACGCCTCGCGCTAAAGACATCAACTCTGATCCAAAATTTGACTGAATGTGTCGCTCCATCTTGAGTGAGCGCCACCTGGGCACTGACGGCTGCCCACCCTTCTTTAACGAGCTTGCTGTCTGCGAAAAGGATCCAGTGACCAGCTTGGCTTCGTAGATCAGGATTGTTGGACCACGACGCGTCGGTGGCCAACATGAACACACTGCCACGATACCTAACAGACATGGAAGCATGATCCTTGATGAGGCTGACACGGCGATTGGCTTCAACCACGTCGCTGACCTGTGCTTTGCTCACACACTGCTGCAGCCACGCATTCAGATTTGCAATGTCAGGACGAGTACTGCCCACAAGCCAATTTGCAACTCCAAGCACGCGTCTCCAGCGGATCCTCTCAGGCTCAGTCGCAGCTGACATGGATGCTCTAAACTTACCTCGCATACTCTTCTTGGTTACTCACAGGCGAGAAATCTTCCATCTGCTTGAGGTGTCTACGGTCAAACTTAGCTTCACCAACTGACCAACGCTTGGCCGGAAACAGCTTGGACGCATGGCAGGACACCATCTACATGAAAGGCGCTCAGTCCTCCAAGCTCTTCGCCCTCGAACCAATAGAAGCAGCAAGGATCAAGTTGGCTCTGGCGCGTTCCCGACTTAGACATCCTCCATCGGTGTCCCCTTGTGTTTGCTCACCGTCAATGCCCCATTGGTCTCCGACGCTTCTCCATCTCTCGGCATGTCCGAGCACTCGTCGATTTTCTTCGCATCCCCAGCTCCTGGGCCGTCGCATCTCGAACCTCGCAGGCGATCTTCCGACACGTCGCTGGTTGCCATGATGACCAGCTACCGACGTCAACAAGGAACTCACGTCACTCCCTTCGGCTGAAGCAGCTGCACATTCCGCATCATGCTCAAGGTCATCATTGCTGAACTCCACACATGTACTTGCCTTTCTGTGTTCACCTTGACGAAGCAGACACTCCTGATCAAGCTCAGCTGAACGCTGCCCCGCTACATTCATAAGATCGTTGATTCCCTTGAACATCTGAGTGCCATAGCGCCCTCTTCCAGTCTCGATCATCTAGATTTTCTCCTTGATGGCCCTGAAAAACACTTCGTCACACGTCATGTCCAAGACGGCTCCTAGCCTACGCAGCAGCTCCTTGCTCAAAGATACGGGTGTCTGGTTACCATGCCCTCCGAGCACGGCAGCCTTAATGAATAAACTTGACTCCCTACCCTAGCTGGCATGATCGCCACTTCTTCACTTGCAAAGGTTCCATTGTTACCAAACCGAAATCTATTCTTAGAACTAACCCTCCTAACAGAAAGACCCTGCTCAGCAAGAAGATCAGCAATCCTGGGAAGTGTGTAAGCACCAATCAACGTACGCCGACCGGCTGTATCCGGAACTCCGCAATTAGCTACTGTAACGTGGGATCAAAACCAGGACCCAATTCTGGTTCATCTGCACTTAGGACCTCTTGCAGTCCTCGACAATAGGGCTTCTGCTAGTGTTCTCTGCGGCATCTGCGGTCAAGCCGTCAAGGCTCCACTCGTTTCCACCCTCAGCGTACTCAGTAAAAAGCGTTGCCTATTTCCGGTGGAGCCAATGTCCGCGAAGCCTGCCATGCGAGCGTCATTCTGGTTGTCTTCGGCGAGGTTGGAGCAGCTTTCGACCCATTCATGCCAACATCGCGTATCAAGCGACGCGCAACATGTGCCGAAGACGGAGAAGAGGACAAGTCCCATTGCTGCGAGTGTCCCTTGATCAATCCTGCCAACGCAGACGCATTGTCAACGAAATGGATGAGGAAGCTGTCTCTCAGCACGTCTTGGGCAAAGCGTGTAGCAAGAAGCGCAGCCGCAACTTCAGCCTGGTTGATTTGTGTTTCGCGCGGCAGAAACTCCCTGAGAAGAGCATCGGGAATCTGAGAGTACAGTCCCAGGGGTCTGGACCTTCGGGGGCTGAAAATGACGCAGCCGAGACCTGCTGGCTGTCCCGGTTCCCACATGGCATCCGTGTACATGACGCAAGGCGCCTCTTGCGGAAGGAAGGCAACCACCCTCGGGAGGTAGTTCTTGCAAGACACACTGAAGAAACTCCAAAGCTGCGCGCAATGATGGCGTCAGCGCAAAGTGCTTGTCTCTGTGCTGTCGCTCTGCAAGAGCTGTCTCAGCAAATCGCTGAACACGCCCCTGCACCTGGGAGCTAAGAAAGACAGATTTGCCCCGCAGGGAACTAGCTTGTGCGGAACTCAAGCAGCAAAGAATCAATTCTGCCCGGTTTCGGCGCCACTTGAACTGTTCCAGCTTTGAGCAAACGGAGGAGAAGTCAAAGCTGACCGACCCCCGTATACACAAATGATTCTGACATCAACCAGCGTTTTGAAGGGTCCAGCTGAACTCCCAAGAGAGAGCAAAGTGAACGAAATGCCTGCTGAGCTGAGCCTTTCTCGTCGGACAGGCCCATGCACAAGTTATCGTCATAGAAATGAAGCGCTGGCACACAGAGGAGCTGTCGCGCGACTGCTACTTGGAGCTCGGGGCCCCTGTTGTAGTTGATCACAGAGCTGCTGAGGCCAAATGGGCGGCCATATAACTCCATGAAACGAACGTCATTGACTTCATGATGGTAGAACGCCACAATCAGAAAACAAGCATGTACATCTGCAGCGGCTTTCCACCTGCGCGCAGAGCTTTCGTCATCGACACCCGCCTGCAAGGTGACGGTATCAGCATTGCGCTGGCTATCCTGCATACAGTCATGAAAGAACTTGGCTAAAGCAATGACCAGGTCATGTGAGGTGGTGCGCACACGGGACCAGGCATGAGAGGCAGCATTGTGGCCGGAACGCTTGCCATCGTCAATGGCTCTCCATTTTGGCCCCTGCAAGATGAGGAAGCGCGGAAGCGCTCGCCAACCTCCTCGGCCGTATTTTGAATCCAAAGCCTCCTTCGTCAGGAAACGAAGCACCATGGCGACCCAGGTCCTTCTGGCACAGTTGAAGCAAAGCCACATCGGCTCCTGGAAGTTTGCTTGGTTTGAGTTGCTGCATGAGCTGGGCAGTGTACTCCTCAGCGTCCGCAAGTAGAGCTGCAGAGTCTTGGCTTGCTTTCGATTTTGGTGCAGCCCGGAAGATCGGCACGTCTTCGAGGTGCCCAACGACTGCAAAACCTGTCATGAGCCTGCCAAGGAGGGTAACATCAGCCCAAGCGGCGACAACGCAAAGGTAGAGCCACATGCTGACATTTGCGCACGCAGAAACTGCACGTACGCGGAGGCTCACGCTTTGCAAGCAAAGCACATTGAGCTCATGCAAGGCTTTGGACTTACGCCAAAATGACACTCCGTCGCAAAGGAGTCTGCGACTGGGCGGCGGCTTGACGAACCACGTAGTCAAGATCATGCGGCAAATCGGTCTTCATCTGATATGGATGATGCTCGAGCAGACGGGCAGCGTGTAGGTGCTTCAGTCTTCCCAAGCCTTCCGGCACAAGACGTGGCCAGCGTTGGCGAGAAAGATGGGAGCCGCGCTGGCACGAAGCTGTTGCACTGAAGCCCGCAGCAGAGCATTGCGCATAGAAGTCGGGCAGGATGACACCTCCCTTCTGCAGACCAAGGTTGAGCAGGCGCCGGTAGAAAGGATTCACCTGATCAGGACTGTCAAACAAGTGAGCAAACGGCATAGCCAGCGCATTCAGGGGCGGAGGCTGGCATTGAATGTAACGGCGCACGAAATCATCACCAGTCTGGCCCCACAGAAAAGTCACGGCGTCCTGCACAGACACCGGCACCGGCAGCTCAACTGGCGGCCTCACCAAGATGAGGCCGTCAGAAGTTGAGATGCCGCAGACCCAGACAAGGCTGGCAGCGGCTGGCAAACAAGAGCTTAAAGCAGGGAACATGCCAGGTGTTGCCTACACTATGGTTCCCCAACAGCGACAGCTGCTGACAAGGAGAGCCCCCGGCCAACAAGCAGCAGTGAGGTTTCTGCCAGCCATGAGGCAGAAACAGATTGCACAGCGCCTCCACGAACAAGTCCTGGGCGGCGACGCTTGAGGACAGCCAAACAATCCGGGTCAATTTCGAAGCTGCAGGGAAGAATATGGAATGCCTCAGTTGGCAAAGAGAGCCATACGGCCCCCAGACCGTCGAAGAAAGACAGAACCAGCAATCTTGGCTTGGTAGGCATGGAGCCCAATCCAACCATGAACGAGTCAGGAGGCCTGACGGGATTGATGTTGTCCAACCAGGTTGCTTGAGGCGCAGGCACGCTGAAGCCACAGTTACCAAGCGGCTGCCAGATCCCAGGAGGAGGCTCACGGGGCGGAGGACAAACCGGTGACCCTCACTGTCTCACAAATGTCGGAGCTCCATGCCAGTGAGGGGAGTTGTCCCTATTTGTGCTGTTCACATCTGCGGTGCTGCTGGCCACATGCTTTGCCCAACTTCGTCAAGAAATTGCAGCAACGCTGACGGCCATTTTTGCATTTGTCAGCTGAGCTTTTACCATCATTCCACAAACGACAGATAGATTTTCCCGAAGCATGCACCGAGGCCACCGAAGAATTGCGGGCTTCGCTGTCAAGCTTCTGATGCTTGACAGGCTGAGGCGGAGGATCCACGTCTACAACATCATGCGCCGCGGAGACATCTGCAGTATGAGCGAAGACCCAAAGAGCAGCGACCTTGGCCAGCCTCATCGAAGGTTTTGCCTTTGCGCATGGCTTCTGCCACAAAGTGCGTGCGTCCTCGTCAGCCCGACGCAGAGCTGCAAGTGGCTGCAAATTCCCGGCGAGCGGGGCTACCTTGGCACGGACAAAGGACAAGTAATCACCGACCACCTGCATGGCGCAGAAGGTGTTGCCGGAGCTGGACTCGACGAAGTTGCCGACGTAGGCGTAGCCACCCACAAGGAGTAGTTCGAGCAGCTGCAA